TTTCCTGGTTGTTGGATTGCGGCTTAGATAAGGGCACGGCCAACCGCCTGCCCCGCCACCGCCTGTTTCTTTTCGTGTGTATGATCTTGGGTCACGTCGAACCATCTGGCTTACAGGTGGTCGCGCCTGTTACTGCACCAGAAGCAAAGCCAATACATGCATATATGTTTATTTTTTATCATTTATTGAATTTGTATATTATGTACGTGTATGCAAAGATCCATATGTTCATACCTCAGTATTTATAATTAATTATATGATAGTTACTCATGATTATAATGCTAGTTCTAGCGATAAAAGAAATCAATCTGTTGGATGAATATTCTCAAACTGTTTTGATAATAAGAGATTCACCTTTGAAATTAGATATGCCAAGATTTTCAACTGATTCTCTTCGTGTTTTTTCATCTTCTCCGTGTCTCATTTCTCTACCCTATTTTCTTATTATGTTCACTCACCATTTCTTTCTTTACCCTTTCATTCTATTTTTTTTTTTTTTCAGCGCAAATAATGGCCCTGAAATACTAATGGTTTACTTTTTTCCATAAATCAGGACAATCAACAGAAAACGTAATTGAAGGGGATCAGCTGTTCTACCGAAGAAAAAAAATGTGTACCACTTGGCCTTGAAATGATCGTCTCTGATAGTCAGGCCTTCATAGCCTTTTTTAGTGTAGTAACATTGTTTGTGGAATTTATTGTATTGTTCCACAAGTAATATACAAGTTCAGTAACACCACTTATTATATAGTAGCTCTAAATTCAGATAAATTGATAGATAGTTTCTGTTGATCAACGTTTTAGCAAGACATATAATTCAAATCAATAGAAAATATCATTTTTGTCTCAAGATCGTGATTGATATCCTATTCTTTTCATATTCTCCTTTGTTTTTTGTTTTTTTCTTACTTTATTTTCATTTTCATTTTTATTTCATTTTAGTGAAAGGTGAATATTTGCATGTCTCTTTATAGATTGTGAACCGCGTTCTCTACCATTGCTTTATGAATTACTGTTTGATGCCGACGCTCAAGCTATCTTTGAACGCAGGCAAGTAAAGAAAACGGGTAAGAATATTTGCGAAACCGAAAGAATAACAAGAAAGGTATGGACAAGCAGCGTGTGAAATATTCTACTTAGAAGTGAATAAAATGACATTTGAATAATACTAAGCCCTTGCAAAAACACAGAACAATGTGAAACGACCAAAATCCGCTAACTGTGTTGTTAAGAAAATGACACACTATCGCATTCACAATCCGGTTTTCGAGAGCACACCCAAGCGATTTATGGCGCACTGTTGACCGCGGCGGACTTAGGTAACCGTGAGTGAGTCATTCTCTGGACGCAACTCACGAGACTCCTTCCTGGCTAATTGGTTAATTTCAGGTTATTATTAACTTCTTCCTTTTGTCAGAAATATCTGAACGTTTTAATTATCATTGACTTTTAATTAATCGGTACGGATGTTGAGTGAGGGAAGCTAGTGATCGGAGGCAAATTCTGCGACGTTACTTGTCGTTTTCAGTGGAAGGACATTAGAAAACAAAACAGAGAAGAAAAGAAGAAAGAAACTAAGGAATTTCGCTAGAAATTTAAAGGAAACGCATAATGAAGTATTATAATTTTCTTCATTCTGTTGTTCGTTGTTTATCAAGTACATCAGTATATGCACCTTAGGGCATGTATATTCAACATGCAACAACAACCAACACAGTCGGACTTAGTCGTTCTGGGGTTGCTATGAGAGGCGGGCGACGACTAGGCAATTCCCTACTTCGAATTCAAATGGAATCAACCAAGGAGAAGAACAAAGGAAAACGTTTTCACAACAACGAGTAGAGGTATTAGCTTGCCTTTGTTGCGTGGAGCCCGGGGACCAGCTCCTCATGAAGCGGGGGAGGGGGGGGGGGTCGTGGCTAAAGACGACTTTAGAATTCATTGAATTTGTTGATCTCTAAACGAGTCGTCACGTTCAGAGAGAGAGAGAGAGCTGTCCGGTCTAATCTTTTTATTTCAATCTGGTTTTCATACAGTTCTTCACGGATATGCATTTCCCTAAATGCTTTTTAGACATACGTGTTAAAAAAAAAAAATAAATAAATAAATATATATATATACATATATTATTATATATAATATAATATATATATATATATATATATATATATATATATATATATATATATATATGATCCCTGATTCCTGTCTTTCTGAATTAAATGACACTCTTAACCCGTGATGATACAAAACGACCCGAGTCAATTTTAAAAGACGTAATCTGATATATTTGTATTTGGAAATCTACGTGCTCATGTTTTTCTATATCTGTATTGAATATTTATTGATTTTTGAGTTGATATGATGCAGTAGATTGAAATATCTATATCGGAATTTTATCAGCATTTCTTTAATAAAGCCATGTCACCTTTTTTCGATCCTGAAGTGAAAAGTAAGGTGACATGCACTGTTGTTGTTTTTTTCTTTATTTATTTATTTCTTTTAAAGGGACTGGCCTCACCCTATGAAGGGGACCTTGTTTATGACGCTTTTTCATGTTTTTCGACATCGGCCTTTTTTTCCGATATTCTGCATTACCGGAAACAAAGATCTATCTTCCTTTTGTCACATCTATCTTTATAATCTTCAGGCATAATAATCCTCGTTTTTCTCTTCCATGTGACAGACCGAAAAAATAAAGGGAAAAGCTTCTCTAATTCACAGGAAAAGCTTTATATTCAATGGATGTAAAAAATACGTGTCATTTTTTACATTTTACTCATTTTGAAAGGCCTCATCCATCAGCAGTTGTGTAATACTAATACTGAATGAATATTTTGTTAGTATTGTGTCTATAGCGTTTAATATTATTTATATGCATATTTGTGTGTGCATAAATGTATGTGTGTGCGTATGCGAATGTGTTTGTGTGTGTGTGTGTGCGTATGTGTGCTTGTGTTTGTGTCTATGTGTGTGTGTGTGTGTGTCTATGTGTGTTTGCTTATGTGTGTGGGCCAGAGGTCAAGTGTATATGCGTACGTATATGCATACATGTGTGCATAAAAACAAACACGATTATAAACAATATTAAGTAAGTAAGAAGGTAGACGACTTTTCGAAGCCATACAAGACGTCGCGCTGAGGGAAGGGAAGGTCAACCGTAATATAAGGAGGCTTAAGGAGGCTTTTAATCTGTGTGAGTGCATGCAGATGGAGAGCGAGAAGACAAAGGCACAGAGAGAGGGAGGGAGGGAGGGAGAAAGGGATAGGGAGAGAGTGAGAAGGAGAGAAGGAGAGAGGCAGAGAGAGAGAGAGAGGAGAAAGGGCGAGAGTGAGAGAGATAGAGAGAGAGAGAGGAGAAAGGACGAGATATAGAGAGATAGAGAGAGAGGAGAAAGGGCGAGAGTGAGAGAGATAGAGAGAGAGAGGAGAAAGGACGAGATATAGAGAGATAGAGAGAGAGGAGAAAGGGCGAGAGAGAGAGAGAGGAGAAAGGGGGAGAGAGAGAGAGAGAGGAGAAAGGGCGAGAGAGAGAGAGAGAGAAGAAGAAAAGGAGAGAAAGAGAAAGAGTCAGAGATACTGTAAACAATAGATATGGTCTCTCTCAGCATCTTTCCTTCAATTTACCTATCTATCCATCCATCTATATCTCTCGTCATCTATCAGCTTTTCTACCAATTTATTTCCTCTCCCCTTTATTTACTGCATACTGAGTGTGTGTATATATGTTTTCCTGATTTTTGTGCCTATTTGCTTAATTGCAAGAGAGAAACCTCAGCTCTGTTCGCTATATTTAGATAACCATATGACTTTTTGCACTGGTGTATGTTTCTAGCACACGTTTTCTGTAGGGTTGTTCTAGCCATCAATGATCATCTATGGAAAACTAAACATCTTTACATCCTTGTTTTTTATCCGCATTTTACTGTGACCTCATGTTAAAAGAGCATTTGTTTTATCGTTCTCAAGACGTGATTCAGAACAAAGAAAACGTTTTCTTCTTTTTTTCGGTGTCGTAAGCTTTGTCTTCTTTCAGTTTATCTAAGTCCTCCCTTGACTGGGTCTTCCGATACTCTGAATGGATTTGTTTGTTTACGTGAATGCCCTCCTCGTGTTTGTGGTCAAGTTGGTGAATATCAGCTTGTAATCTCTCGTCTTTTCCTTCTATATTTTTCATTTAACTGATTTTGATAATTTCTTATTTCAGTTTTGAAGTAAGAAATCGATAAGATTTGAGTATTGTATGTCTGTCTTATTCGTGTAAACTTATATCCCAGCCTTTGTCCCCAAGTAAGATTCTTTATCTTCGACAATCACGACTTATAATCGTCCCTCGTGCGTTATCTTTCCCCTTTGTTTTGTCTTGCAAAAGGGAATATATCAATGACATTACAAGGTGAACGTTTTTTTTCCTAATGATGGACTGTTTTTAATTCTTTTATGTGCTCCTCGTACAGACGGCCTTGCCCATACCTCATTCCCATATATATTCTGATTGATGAAGGCACCGTTCATTAACGATTCCAAGTATTTTAATTTTTCTCCAAGAATCAGGTCATACTTTCGGATTTAAGTTTTCCCAGTTGATTATAAAAAAAATTCTCTTGTTTCCACAATTCACAATCATTCCATTAGACTTATAAGCATTTCTGTTTTTTTTGTAACAATTCTTTTGTGTGTATATATGTGCATGTGTGTGTGTGTGCGTGTGCGTGTGCCTACGTGTGGATGTATGTGTGTGTGTGTGTGTATGTGTGTGTAGATATCTGCGTCACACGAATTACGTTGACATCGACTCTACTATTTGATTAATGAGATCGATCACCCGAGTCTATCAATGAACACATTTCAAGAACGACACGTGCACGAGGCAGCGAGAGCACAGTGCTAAACAACACGTATGCAACAACTCGATATACAACGCTCCATATAATGCCTCACTTGCCACAACTGCAGAAAAATCAAGTTTGATTATTTAGTAATCTTAATAAAACATAATG